TGTGGTGCGCTGATCATGGGAACCCGTTAAACTCTTTCACACTTTGAAAGCAAATGTGCGCGGCGCTGAGGCGAGAACCACATTCTCCGCCTTTCATCCGTGAGGCCACTGTAAATGTTTACAACGAATGTGCGCGGCGCTAGGCGAGGGCCACATTTTGAAAACTGGTCGTCCTCAATCCGAGAAGGTCGTGCACATTTCTACAACGAGTATGCGCGGCGGTGAGGCGAGAGCCACATTTTGAAAACGGGCCGCCCTCAATCCGTGAAGCCCTTGTTTTTTACAGCGACTGTGCGCGGCGCTATACGAGAGCTACATTTTGAAAAGGGGTCGCCCTCAACCCGTGACATTCTGGTACGTTCTTAGAACGCATGTGCGCGGCGCCGAGGCGATATCTCCATTTTGGAAACGGGTCGCCCTCAATCCGTGAAACTCTTGCAAATTATGCTAACCGGGTTGGGCGTTGCAGCCAAACCAATGTTTTTTGAATGCCCTCCTCGCTGAGGCGGGCCTCCCTGAAGGAGTGGGAGGGGCAGCACACCTGACACATAGTATTGTTTCCGCATACCCTCCTCGCTCAGGCGGGACCTCCCTGGAGGAGTGGGAGGGCAACGCAGCCTGATACATCACATGGTTTTCGACTACCGTCCTCGCTCAGACAGGGCCTCCCTGGAGAAGTAGGAGGGGCACGAAAGCCCTCCTCGCTCAGGCAGGGCCTCCCCAGAGGAGTGGGAAGCGCACGAAACCTAGTAGACAACATTGTTTTCGAATGCTCTCCTCGCTCAGGCGGTGCCTTTTTGGAGGAGTGGGATGGGCGCGAAACCTGATACACAACATTGATTCTAAATGCCCTCCTCGCTCATGCGGGGCCTCCCTGGAGGAGTGGGAAGGGCACAACACCTCATCAGTGACATTGTTTTCGAATGCCCTCCTCGCTCAGGCGGGGCCTCCCTGGCGGAGTGGGAGGGGCACGAAACTTCATACATAACATGGTTTTCGAATGCCCTCCTCGCCTAGGCGGGGCCTCCTTGGCGGAGAATGAGGGACACGAGACCTGATAGCATACAATTGTTTTCGAATACCCTCGTCGCTCAGGCGGGGTCCAGGCTGGGCCTCCTAGGAGGAGTGGGAGAGGCACGAAACCTGACCCGCCTCGCTCAGGCGGGGCCTTCTTGGAGGGGTGGAGGGGCACGAAACCTGGTAAATAGTATGGTATCCCGATACTGTCCTGCTCTGGCGTGGCCTCCCTGGAGTGGCAGGTAATGTATGGTAGCTTTGGTTTTGTTAGGTGAGGTATGGTATGGTAAGTATGGTATGGTCTGGTAGGTATGGTATGGTAGGTGTGGTATCGTATGGCATGATATGGTAAGTATGATATGGTATGGTTGGTTTGGTATGGTAGACATGGTAGGTCTGGTAAGGTATGGTATGGCAGGTATGGTATGGTAGATGTGGTATGGTAGGTATGGTATGTCGGGTAGGTATGGTATTGGCATGGCACGTATTGATATGATACAGCATGGACGCGGGAGGAAGAGAAGGAATAGTAGGAGAGGGAAAAGGAGAGGGAATTCCAGGCAAATAAGACCCCACTCAGGATGTGGGGAATCTTTAAAACGAATTCACGCGGCGCTCAGGCGAGGGCCACATTTTGCAAACGACCCGCTCTCACTCTGTGAAGATGTGACACATTTTTTAGCTTCAGGGTCCTAAATGATGAGGAAGTCTCCGGCGAAACGCCCGGCCCGCTCCAAGAATTGGTTTCGGTGTGCGACAGGGAGGAGTTTTTGATAAGGAACAGGAATGGAGGAGGAGGAGGAGGAGGAGGAGGAGGAGGAGGTGGAGGAGGAGGTGGAGGAAGAGGAGGAGGAGTAGGAGGAGGAGGAGGGGGAGGAGGAGGAGGAGGAGGAGGATGATGGTGTGCCCTGGGCCTCTTCGTGGACGGCTGCAAGAGGGCCCGGCCAGGCTGGCTGCCGCCCTGCAGAGCGGTCAGACGCCGCCCGGTACGCGCGGGGGTCGCTCCGCGCACGTGGACCCTTGGGAGGACAGCTACATAGTGCCTAAGCCTGCCTAAGGCGTGGTTCTCGCTGTGCCCTTCTGGTTTCAGAACCCCCGCTGGGGCGGTGAGTCTAGCGGGGCCTTCGTAGCCAACTAGACTGGAAAGCATTCTGACGTCACACCGCCACTGCGGGAGCCACGGCTGATGTCGCTTATTGTGACCCGCGCAGCCAAACCTGGTAAACAAATACATCATATGGACACTGCTTTCAGGGGCCGCGATAGGTGGGATAGGCATTTGGGTGGGTGCATCGGCCTCATCGCCGATATGGGCCCGACGGCCCCACCCCGCCCAGGAACGTGGGGATTTGCTATCGGGGGCCGATCGCCACCGATCTATCGGAGATGTATCGCCGATTTCAGTTCGATGTTTCCCCCTGTGCCAGTCGCCCCTATAGTTGCCCCTCATGCGTGCTGGAGCCAGCTGGGGGTCTGAGGTGGC